GGCAGATTCATCATAGTAATATAAAAAATCCAAGCGTGCGTGTCTGTTGGGAATCTTTAATTCATTCTTCTATATTAGGTATTCACAAGGCAAGAGATATGGAGCCCACTTCATAAACAAGTTCTAACCTCTCATAATTCATCTTGCCAAGAAAAAAAAAAAGACAGTAAAACTTTAAAACCAATTTTGCTGCCCAGTGTAAATTGAATGTGCAGGAAATGATAAAAGTTAAAGCCTTAAAAACATGACCAGTAAAACATTTTTCATGCCATAATCGGTGCTCTTTCATGTTATTGTGCATTTACAGTACATTTTTCTGTCTACAGATCCTCTTTTGTTAGGTCTATTTATTTTATTGAGGCAGTACAGATGAAACAGAGAAAAACAGCCTATAGTTTATAGCATGCAGAGCTGCTCTACCAAAGCCATTAGAGGTTTAAATACTGCTAATACCACCAAGCTTATTAGGGGCCTCCCTCAAGCCTGATGAGACCAAGAAATGGAGAGTGGTGCAGTCGCTCCTGCAGACTCGGGTCCTGCTCCGGTGCCTGGGAGAGGCTCCGGTAGCGGCTATTGCCGACCTCCCAAGCGCGCCCGGCTCCCCTGCCCGCATCGACGGTGCCACGCTCAGAGCAGGCACCAAGAAAGCAAGTTGAGACAGACAGCACGGAAGTACAAAACCAACTTTTTTTCTTTATTCTGATTGCCAAATTATTTAAGGCAGGTATAAAAATGAAAGCATTCAATATACATTTTACATAAAATAAACTAGATTACAGCATAAAACAAGTAACCAGGCAATGGCATTAAAATCTCTCTTCTAAAACTGAATAATTGTAAACATTAAAAAAAAAGACTGCAGGACTATTCAAGTAATAGAACAATCAATCACAGATGTCTTCTGGTATGCAGGCTATCAGGTTATTTGCCATTCAAGATTATCAAAAAAGACATTTCATTACTCACAGATGCTCATTATTTCCCCATTTAAAATCTATACATTATGTACAACACAGTTTTTGTGGTACTGTCATCCCCATGCCTTCCAAATGTTTATCTTTCACAATACACAATTACAATGAAACAGTGAATACAGTAACATTTTACACTGATGCCTCTTAATAGGAGCTACCAAATAGACATCTACATTGTACCAAAGCGTCCTCACAGTTAGTCTCTTTGAGGGCTTGTGGGAAATACCAGTATGTAAGGGTAAAGGTTCAGGCACACTGATACATAACATTATTTATTTACAACTAGAAAGCAAAAAAGAAAAAAAAAGTGAGAGAAAAGAAGAAGAAACAAAACAACCTTTTGTAGTTAACACTTTCTAAACATTTCTCCATTACTGTGTAGTTTGCAACTTAGCAGCAGACCCTGTGTGCGATCCTGGTTACTGATACAAAAAAAGAATATATATATATATATATTTTTATATATATGTGAATATATATATATATATATGCATATATATATAACAACAGAAGTCTAATTACAGCAACATTTGTTACTCTGTGATAAAATCTGTAATTTACAAAAAATGAAATGACTGTCTTTTGCCTGCCATTAAGGCATTTCAAATTAACACCATGGAACTGATGTCTATAATAAAGAGCTTCCTCATGTAATCCAGTCACATGACAACGTACATTTCCAAACTCATCATTCTCTGAAAAGAGAAAGAAGAATGTTTAAGTCTGGCATTTCCCCTAACATTTTCCCACATCTCAGATACTTTGCGAAATGAGATCTGCACAGCACTCAATCTCACACTGCAAAGAGAACAAGTCACATTCTCACCCCTCTCCCACAAAAGTCAAGAAACAAGCAAACGTATCAGGATTTATCTTCTGACTTCTGAATCCCTGCACTCCTTCAGGTCTTTCAGAGCCAGAAACCTCCTCTCAAGCTACAAGTCTTAGATGGTTACTTGTTTCCAGAAAGACACCAATAACCACAAAGCTTTATAACACTGTATGACACATTACACTGAGACTTAATATGGTGGTGATGAAAGACACCCTACTGTTACAGGTGCACTGGGTTTTTCACTTAAAACAGGGTGATTATTACCCAGAAGGATGTCTCTCCTGTTGGAGGTTGAAGAGTAAATCTTGTTCATGACCTAGTAAATAACTAGGAGGTGAATGCATGGGATTTCTATGTAACTGAAAAATGATGTAACTGCTAATGGATTCCTTAGAAAACCCTCTGAAAATAAAATCAGCAATCCAGATAGATAGATTTGCAGATTACAGAAAAGCATAAGTTTACCTGGTAGTGGATGGATCTTAACTGAACATGACATTTTATCCACTTCTTAAAATCATTTGTATCTTAATTCTATTTCATAATCACTTGTATTTTTTTTCTTAATAATAGCTAAACCTAAAACATATTATATGGAAAAACTCATAAAACAAAATATTTGTTTCCCTTTAATGAGCTACATTATAATGAAAGGAACTAATTCAAAGACAAAATGTCATCTTAATGAGAATAAAGCTACAATTAGCCTCAAAACCCAGCCAACCTTTTCCCTCTCTCCTTAAAAACTGTGTTTTACAAGAAACTGCAGACTTCTGCACTCTAAAAACTATGATTTGCTTTCTCCTCTCTATATTAAGATGTATAATTCAAGATTTGCTGGATATTTGCCTTCTTTGTGCAGGAAACATACCAGACACAGATGCCTGAGCAGCCACCTGCTGAGTGGCAACAAGGGCAGCAGAGGTCAATCCTGAAGGAAAGAAGAAACAAAAGAATGTGGATGCACTTCTGGTTTTAATAGATTTTTGTGTTCAGAGAAGGGGAGGAAGAAGCCCTAATGCAAACAAATAAAACAAAGCTGCCATCAGAAAATAGCTTTTAACACTACACAAAAGGGGAATGTCTCAGGGAGCAGTGTTGAGACAGCCCGCCCAGTATGACCAATGTGCCTGCACAGAGTATACTGAATACTCCTTGTTTATAGGCATTTTACATGAATATACAGCATTCTGACTTATTGTATTACTTTCCAAGTACTGCACTCCAGGGTGCTAAATGGTTTGTATGAATTCCTGAATAGAAAGCTCAGAAGAAATAATAGGAAATAATATCAGGAAACAAGGAGAACAAAATGTCACAGTAAATTACAGGAATGATATGCTAGTTGCTCAAAATACAATACTTTCATAATGTCTTACCATTTTTACAGTTTTCCTACTGAATAAACATAATGCACCCCATAAGGCATATGGAATCACTGAATCAAACTAAGAAATTTCAAGACTTTTACATAAGAAAAATAACCACCGAGGCACTGCGTGAACATAATTAATTAATGTCATTCTAGCTACCAATTGTGACAGCACATACTTTGCTGCATGGGAAGAAATCTCCTTTTAATTCAGCTAGAATTCAGGGTTAGAGAAAACCAGTCAAAGGCTGGTATAAAACCCAGGGAGAATGAATCAGGCCTTACTGTGGTGCCAACTCCACCAGGCAAGCTAATCCCTTACTCCTCACCTTGAAATGGGTCATATTGACCAGGTATAAGCGGGTAACCCATTCCAACGTGTGTGTGATGGTGCGTATGGAGATGCCGCTGGCCAAAAGGAGAAGAATGGTCTTGTTCCCTCTCTGCTTCCTGTTCACGCTCAGCTGCAGATTTTTCCACGGACTGACAATAAAATGGTGAAAAAAAACCTGACACGAGAATTTTAAAGGAGAGGAAATTGTAACCAAAATACATTTGCTAATATTACCTGGCAATGACCTTTTAAATTCAGATGATGAAGCTGATTCTCCAGTGTACTGGAGATTTGCACTTGTGCTAGCCCAAAGCTAATGTACCTAGTTATTTCTGGTGTTCTGGTTATATATAATCTGGAAGTTTTTCAAAGCACAGATTTTCAGGTGACACCCTGCAGCATGAAGCCACCACGCTGACCTCTATTTTTGGGCTCCCTTAGGTTTGGCTGACCTGCCAATGCCTGAACATCCTCTTTGGGCTGCTGAGAGCTGATGCAAATAAGTCCTCAGCCCTCTACTGCACACTAGGGAACAAATTTGCCTGAGCAGCAAGAAAACATTTTACAAAATAGAATCACAATCAGTGACTTGCTCACAATTAAAGATAGCACCAACTTATCTGAAAGTAAAATAGCAGTGTTTGTTCCGACACGGAAATATTCAGAAGCAGATGCTGGGAATCTGCTATTCAGTAGATATGCTTTCATGGCAAATCTATTGAGGGGATATAACCAAATCCCATAGCTGGACTTCTTTCTTCATTTTCTATTTTCAAACAAGAACTTCCCATTTAACTGCAACAAACTCTGCCATGCACCAAGAGATATTGCTGAATCTAGGTTTCTGTATGAGTCCACTTATTTAAGTTAGGAAGACTCTATACACAGAACTCTGTTATATGTATCACTTCCAAGTTACACCAAGGAAACATCCAGACTTTTAATTACTTTTACTTTAAGTAGCAGTATAAAGAAGCATCACACATTCATAACTTGATGCCAGACTGGGTGCACATATTAAAATGATATTCTCTAGCCCTCCCCAAAGGTACTGTTCTTCAATAACAACATATAAAGCCTTACAACAGGGGACTTGTTGCAATACTGGCTGGCATGCTGCTGGAGCAAATCCAGTACTTTGGACTCAGTGGTTGATTTCACATTGATGCTTGGTCTGGTATTGACTTTCTCCACCTCTTCTCTCCCTGACATCTTCCCATAAACAGAATACTGAAATCCTGGAGAGAGATAGGCCCCTGCAGGTAAACAATAAATGCCACATCAAGTTACTGTTTTTGCATTTTTGGCTATATCAAGGTATATCTTTAAGTGAAAGAAATAGTAACTATAATGGCTCTGACAGTAAGTAAGTGCTTAGAATATTTTTTACAGGGAATAAACTATCTGTCAGTCTAACAGCAATAGCAAACTGTCAAGGCTTGAGGAAACCATAGCCAGGATCTCTGACAGTTCATAAGAGGAACACCTTATGTTGACTTTCCCTAGTGTAAGCTCAAGCAAAACAAATGTCATCTGCAAAGCTTCAAGCAATGAATAGAAATACTAAAATGCAGGGGCTTCACTGCTTTTTGAGCATGTAAATCTTTACCAGTGGGCAAGGCAAGTTTCAGCATACATACCAGGATAGCTGTGCATGAGGACCGGAGAGACAGCACGATAGGCTGGGTGGTTGGGATCATACATCTGTGGATAAGGATAGGCATGCAAGTACTGGATATATGACTGATGCTGACTCATTGGTGAAGAAACTGCCACTCTAGCACCCCGAGAGTCCTTCCAGTTTACAGGAGTCTTTCGGTCATCGTTTTTTATCTTGCTCTCATCCACTGATTGAGAATCAGAACGCTTGACCTCTTTAGGCTCCTCTTTAATGCTTGTTAATGAGACAGGAAGGCTAGACATGGAGCTTTCCTTGTTAGGTGTTTTTCTTGGGCTGTCTTCTTTTAACTTTTTCTCACAATCAAGTTCTTCAGATTTTTGCTGATCAAGATATTTGGACTGATAGACATAATGATGCCATGCTTGTGAATCTGGGTCCTAACACAGAGGAGAAAAAATGTTCTGAATTTAAAATGTTGAAATAGGATAGCAATATTTCCCATGTTTTGGTTAATGTATTTTTAATAGCTGTTTTAATAACATTTATATTACACAGAGGAGAGGTATGCTTGCTAGAGAGAGCCTTGCGCTCCAATTCAAAACAATATTATCATGAAAGAGTAAGAGACTTATCAAAATGTTATTCAGTTGCTTATTTTTATATCCTCCATCATACCTTTAACTAGTTTAATCATGCATGTATGCATTGTATTGAAGTTCTGCAACTACACTACACATAAAACATTTTAATTAAAACCCACTGAGAGATTTTCCCACTAGAGAGCAAAAAATATCTGTGAGCCACAAAATTACAGCTGCCTAATGATATGTCAGAGCACTCAGATTACCTGGGATAATGAACCTGAAAAACTGATCTAGATGGAAAGATGCTTGTGCTGCCTCTGATGCAGCAAACACTGATGCATCAGTGGAATGCCAGGCATGTGGGCAGACTCCTGCGTCTGATAGACAGTCTTGTTTGAAGTGCATAAAATGACATGCACATTAAGTATTTACAGGATCAGGACCACAAGGTTTAAGGAACAAGTACAAGATATAAAAATATATCTTTTTGCATGCATAACATGCTATCTAGACCAGACCAGTTTATAAACCTTGTATAGAAGTAGGTAGGTGTGTTCTTTACAAAGCTACATCAGATCAGGACTGAACAACCACAGGAAGTTTTGTTTTGTTTTGTTTGTTTGGGTTTTTTTTTTTAATGCAAGCTATGCAAGGGCTAATTCCAAACACCATCTCCAACAGTTCTACATCATGGGAGAAAATGGAAACATAAGCACAGAACTAGATGCCTGGATGGTCTGGTTCAAATACTTATTTGAATCAGCAGAAATCTCCTGCTCGGACCCGCACCATTCCACTTCCTTTATAGCTCCCAGCTCCCCTTGCCTGACCCCAGCGCCTCTTGAAAGACGGCCTGTTAGGGTGAAGTCTAGCACGTACCGCACACCACAGTGTGAAAGCATTTGACATTGAGGCTCTGGCTTCGAGCACAGAGACAGTAACATCACCTCCGCCGAAGGAAATCCAACATCAAGGAAGGTCAGCATGAGCCACTGGATGAAATTCTGGTTCTGCTGAAGTCAATGGCAAAACTAACACTGTAGGCCACTAGGGGCTGGGGTTGGTTGAGGAAGGGAACTTAAATGTTTTGAAAATGTCTCCTTGGGTTAAGATAAAGAGTCAAGCTTCAAGCCAACTCTTCAAAGAATCAGCTCACCCATCAAACTTTCAAATCTACTTCAAGTCCTCTCACAATGAAAGCTGATTATTTTGCTTCAAATTCCTCATTTCTTAACCAAGCAAATTACTTGGAATTTACATCTAAAAGACAAATCTAATTCTATTTTATTCTTGCACGCAATTTTAAATAGTCTAGTGGTGTCTTAAGCCTGGATTCTGCCACCACCATGATAGATAGTTTTATTTTTCCTTGTTTCAAGCAGCTCAACAGAAAAGCCTGTTCATTTATTCACCAACTACAGTACTATCCAGCAAGAGAAAAAAAAGGATGGCTGCACTTGTTTGGCTGCAAAGTTAAAAAGACCGTAACAAAATCAGGGACAAAATCTCACACGATTTAAGAGTAAATCATCAAGACACCTACACTGCATTTCCTGTGATCTTACCTGTTTAAATCTGCTGTTTGGATCTACTCCTGTCTGCTTCATGGAGTCCATAACCAATTTCATCTCCGCAGCCTCTTTTATGAGCAGGTGGTTTTCCATTTGCTTGGCTTTTAAACTGTCAGTCTGAAACTGCTGATGATGATTGGAGAGGATCTGCAATTTGCTCGTCTCCTCACCTTTTTTAGGGACTGATGGCCCTATTTTAGTGTTATTTTTGCTCACCTCCGGAGTTGAAAAGGCCTTTGAAATTGTAGCAGATGGGATATTCTGCTTATTATCATCCTTCCCTATTTCCTTCAAGGGGGGATCATTCTTCCTTTCACAGTCTCTTCCAGTTTGTGCCATCTTCTGCTCTGCTAGTCTCTGGTCCTCATAGTATTTTTCATACTGCTGCCTGTAAGCAGGGTTGGAGGCCATTAAGGACTTTTGGTCCATATAGAGCCCATAAGCATACTGGCCATAATAAAGTGACTGGGCAAGTGCAGGGTGTCTTTGTTTTATTACTGACTGATGTTGCAGCTGCAAATTAGAGGAGCCAGTTTCATTCCTCCTGGAGACCAACAGCTCGGTCTTCTCTTTCTTCTCAGCCTCTTCCTCGACCTCTTTTTTGATCTTCATCCCCTGTGGGGTGCTACTGTTCCCGGCCGCTGCGGCACTGACCTGTCCAGAGTGCATGTAACTCGGAGAATAATAGGGATCGTAGCCATGGTAATAGGGAGAATGGGACTCTTTTGCTTGAACCGACTGTGCCATGGTTGCAGAATGCCCTTTCACGATGCTGTCCTTACTAGAAATAATTTCTGACGGAGAGCTCGCCTTTGACCTCATGCCCTCTGACCGGCTGTCAGAGCTACCATCATCGGCCACATCAGAGATATCGGAGTAAGCAGGGCTGTTGGTTTTCGTGGCCACGCTGTCTGCCCCGTTTTGTGTCAACACGTGCAGTGGCGCCAGTGAGGACTGCCCATTGGCCAGTGTGCTGCACTCCATGCGGGAATCCTCCAGCTTTCCCAGCTTGGAATCCACCTTCGGGCTCCCAGTCTCCTTGCTTTCTTTGTTCTTTAGCTTTCTCTTCTCCTTTTTCTTTTTGTCTTTGAGCGACACGAGAGCTGGGTTGACAGTGCTTGGCTCTCCCATGATGGCGGGCTTTGGTTGAATAGGTTTTAGTGGAGGGCTCTTTGGTGTAGCCTGAACAACAGTCATCGTTAGACAGGGCAGTCCCGGTATTGTCTGTGTTGTGGTGGTTGTAAAGGCCGCAGTAGGTATCGCTATCAACTGGGGAGGAGTGGGTGCTGGTGCTGGGGCGATAGGCCTGGCTGTTTTCAATTTGAAAAGATTTTTATCCACTTTGCAGTTATTAGCTTTTTTGCCTTTGTCTTTATCACCCAAACCTTGTTTGTCTATGAGCCCTTCGGTCTCCAACTTGGGCATTTCCGTCTGCAAACCGCGGTCTACTACCGAGCAACTGTCCAGAGTGGCTGCTGTGTTAGAAATTACCGTAAGGCTGTTCAGTTCACCATTCAGACCCTTCTTTTTGCCCAAATTCTTGCCAGTTTGGAATTGATAACCGAACTGAGGCCATTGCTAGTCAGCTCCCTCTTTCTTTTTTTCCCTTGTGGGTCTCTGGAGAGGTGATGGAGGAAGGAGACATCGGTGCTTTTAGCGGATAAAAGCTGGACAAATTTGTGCTTAGCCTGCTACATTCAAGTGCCACATTACTCAGTGCTTCCTCGCAGTCTGAAATTTTGTCTTCGTTGTCAGGCTCAAACTCCAGTTTGTTTTCTGGATCTAAATGTGCGTGAGCCTGGTGGTATCGCAGTCCATTAATGTGCTTGTACTTTTTGTTGCAGTTGGGGTGAGGACAGTCAATCAGCACCAGGGAAAAGCAGCCTTGGTCCAAAAACGTGGTCTCGGGCTTTCCTGGGGTGTTGGTGGTGGGAGTGCTTCTAGAGTTAGTATGAACACGTTTTCCTGATTTATTGTCCTCTGAACTGGATTTCAAATCTAGCTCCATGGGAGGCTTATTTTTCCTCTTGTTGGTGGATGAGGGGCTGGCTTTGACATCGTCGACAGCGCAGTTTGGAGGTGTCCTGCGCCCGCTCAAGTTCATGTTGCCCCTCCGTCCCTTCCCATTGGCACTGCCACGGTTCTTGCCCTGGAGTCCTCTGGATTCTGTGAAGCTCGCGTCACAGTCGGGTACGGCCACAGCTGTGGCGGACCTGGCCCGCTTTCCCCGGCCCCGGCCTCCCCTCATTTCCAGGTCACTTGTTGGCAACTCACAAAACCTATATAAACAAGAGCAGGTGTCATCAGCAGGAGCTGCGAACTAAATAAATACTGCAACACCGCTTCTTGTAACAGGGCCTTCAGCCATGTTAAAGAAAGGATGTGCTTCCAAATGAGAACATTGTGGTCTTAAAGGAAATGTCAGTAAAAAAAAAAAGGAAAGAAGGAAAGAAAATCTAATTAGAACAACAGAGAGAAAATGTTTCCAAACTTATAAAAATGCATTTTTATTAATTCCCCTTTGATTTACTTCCATGTACTTCCCCTCCCCTCTCAGAAAGACCAAAAAAAAGGAAATAAAAACACTCACCCTAATGTCCCCACTTTCCAGGTGGAACAGAGAATTATTCATCTCACTGATTCATGTTTTCAATTACACTCAGTTGGTTTTCATTAATCTCTGTATAGTTTCTTGACAGGGATGGAGGGGGAGGGAGAACGCAGTGGTGCGAAGCCAGGCACAAAATGCTTGCCTACCTGGGAGGGGCCCAGTCATGCTTTGTGCAGTCCAGCAATGTTCCCACGTAGGTCTTGTTCCTCCATGTAACATTTACCACCAGAACACCTGTCAGTGGGAGAAAAACAAAGAATTATTGTTCTGACTGCAATAATAAAGGGAGTTTTTTTTTGTTTTGTTATTTTTTTTCCCAAACACACACAACGTGAGAGTTTTATTCTCCTTCACTTTCAAAACCTGTGATCTGTCCTCTTCCTTTTTTCTGCTTTCAGTGACCTCAAGCTGAAACCCACAGGAAAGCAAGGGAGCAAGAATGAACAAGGGTGTGTGCATAACCGTTTGCGAGTGGGTGTGAGGGAGCCCATATACCCGTGTGTGACTGTGTGAGCGTGTGCAATCAAGATATAGCTGACAGAAGGAAATGGTTTTTACCATGTCCTGCTGTAAAATGGCAATGCTCACCTCTCAATTTTGCTATTATTGCACATAATTGCTTTTGCTTGGCAACCAGTCAGCATAAACTGAGCACCAACTACAGTGTTTAAATGGAATCTGCTTTGCTTTAAACAATATAATGACACTTATATTTATTTGAAATTGCATATATCCAAACACACACATATATAGGCATTGCAAGTGTTGTCCATCAGAGACAGATGGGAATGTGTATTATCCGCTTTGCCTTCTCCTCCGTGGAAAGGGAGGGGTTTAAATGAGAAACTGCAACCTTATAATAAAGATAAGAACCAAAACACAAATATTTAGAAAGAGGACTACTTTTAAAAAATGCATTGTGTCATGCATTTGCTTTTCCATTTAAGACTTCTGTTAAAACATAAATACATCTGCCCACCTTGGCAGGCTTATTGCTTTATTCAAACCATCTATGTAAAATGCATACATGGTAAAGATGTCTTAAATATAATTAAGAAAGGGGATGGTCAGCCAAACATTTTCAGACTCCCCTCAAATTCAGTTTCAAAGAGATAATTTATCACCATGTTTATGAACTAGGCAACATAGTTACCCCTTTAATTCACTAGCTACCACGGATAGACGCCAGGTAAATGTTCTTGAGTCTTTCAGAAGAGGCACTCAAAGGAGAGATCTTCCCACTTGGCCCAAGGAAGACACCAGGTACAAAACACCAATTTACAAGAGGCAGAAGACACTGAATCACAGCCCTGCGACTTGCTTCTCTTCTTCGCTCCTGTGTCCTAGCTTCAGCTTTTCCACAATGGATGGATATAATATTGGCACAGTGCTAAAGTGTTTCCTGATGGTATGATTTCTATTTTTTTCACCTCCTCTCTGCTGCACCAAGGTAAAACACATAACCAACAGCTTATTTCCTAGGGGGCCTTTTAACAGCAGGGAAGTATTTGAAATGCTGGTAGCAGAAGCACACGGGAAGAAGGGATTTCCTTAAAGTTTCTCAAGAGCAGAATTGAAAGTTATTTGCTGTATGGTTTTAAGTTGCCATTACAATGAGACAATGGTACCAAAAAAAGGGGGTGGATCACAGTCTAAGGGATACCAGATAAAAATCACCTTCCAGTCAAGGCCAAACCCAGGCTTGCAATACGGAAAAGGACTAAGATGAATGGATACACAAGGGGAATCAAGATGAAGTTTATTTTTATGATCTATGCCACTCTCGTTGTCTGGAAAAAAAAAATGCAATTTTATTACTGCCCCCTTCAAATGATACCAGATCCCTGGAAAAACAGAGGAGGGGGGGAGAAATATGCAGCGTTTTCCCGGTGGCAGCTTCGCACCTGTCACCGCACAGCTGGGCAGGGTGCGCAGTGGCCCTTGCCTCGGGCAGGAGCCATGCAAATAATGCAGGTGCCTTGCCTCCACTCACCTTGTGCTGGGACTTACTTCAACCTTCCGCACCTGTGGAGGAAGTGCTCAGCCAGCCTCGAGGGGTCGCATCAGCAGCCGTCAGGTACTGCGCCTCTGTTGGGTGGCGGGGGCAGGAGAAGGGGCAGCGCCTGACCAACGGCCACAACTGCCCCCTGCCACCACCCCGGCATGGCACTGGGCCACAGCACCCCGCCACTCAAGCCTGAGGAGTGGACAACATGGTGGCCTCTGGTGCAGAAGGTGATGTATCAATTTCCTTGAGTACTCAAATCACGGCGTGTTTTGTAACCCCTAAACCTACTTGCATGTGTGGGTCAACACACAGAAGGAGGATGAAAAGCAAACATGCCAGGGGAAATGATTGTGAGGAGCAACCTGATTTCTCCAGTGCCCCCAGCTAAATGCCCACCTGCCATTTGTGTACCAGAGCACTGCATTAAAATAGTGTTCCTCTGGTCACCCCGATGCATTCCTCCCACTCTAATAGCTTGGTTGATGTGGCTCCCTACTGCCAGGAGTGAAAATTTATGGGTGTTTTCCATCCCTGAAGCCCCCTAGGTCAAACAGCCCACCTAATAAATTTCCCTAATGAACAGCATATCACTCAGCCACAGGTACAATTTCACAGAACAAGCAGTGAAGGGAGCTCATTTAATTTATTAAATCTATTATAGAAATGGGTCAAAAGAATAGAAGACCAACCCCCTAAGGAAACCCCCAATTAGGAGGCAAATTAGAGCAAAGCACTGGAATGCACAAAAGGGAGAGCAGAAAGATGCTAGATGCACCTAGAAAAGAAGGACTACCCTTGCTGCACCCAGGCAGGATGTCCTGTTCACATTTCTCTGTTTCAAAATATTTGTCCTTGGCACAAAGCTCAAGTGAGTCTGCTTCAAAACAAGACTCTCTCCTGGGATTACTTTCCAGGAAGCAGTATGCAAGTAATGCTGCAGCAGTCTTCAGCACATGTCCGAGTAATGCATCTGAACACACACTGCAGGTAGTCACAGACCCGCTAGTCCTTCACCAATTCTTTCGCAGCCCTCCTGTGTGTATGTGTGTTATCACTTGCAGTACCAAACCACACTGAGGCTGTATCAAGCTGTAAGAAATCTTTGTAATGAGGAGGGGTGGTCCTATTCATTAGGCTACATGCCCTGTAATAATCATTTATTTAGAGTTGTCTCAACAGGAGAGAGAAATGGGGAGACAATCGGAGGAACCCACAGGTTTCATACCACCTGAATACAGAAATGCATTTTCACATAAAAACAAACAATCAAACAAAAATAACCAATACTGCAGAATGGAAAAAATAACACATCACACACACACAACCAACCACACACAAAACAAACCACAGATGCTTGTCATACAGTGTATCTAAGGGTACTTGGACTCTAGCATTACAATTCAAGAAAACTGTCTAAAATCCTAAATTAAATCAGCCAAGAACAAGAAATCACCTTTTTAATATTTAAAAAGCTGCTACTCATACTGCTCTTATTACTGAGGAACAGATAGAGCAACCAGTAAACATATGCTCAAGGACTGTCAAACACAATTGAGTGGAAAAAGGAGCCTGTGTCTTGACAAATAAGGGAGTTGTTACTCCACATTATTTAGCAAGCAAGACTAGGGAGTACAGGCAGGGAGGTCGTGCTGTGCGTATGTGATACGCACACGAGTGTAGCTGACTACACCTGGGGAAAAACAGGAGAGGGGCAGAGAGCCCCTTATCAACAAATTGTTATGAGAAACCCCAGAAGAGAATGCACCCAAGGACATATTTTTGCTGCTGTTGCTGGTATATTATGAGAAAATACAGACAAAACAGTAGGTGTTACTGGGCCATCATGAGAGAATACAGACAACACTGGTTGAAGACAAAGATAAGGACCACCGTATCTTCAAGGAACTGTCTGAAACTGAGCAGTGGGACCAAAACAGGCCCTTCTGAGACAGAATGGGGCTATATATGGAGGTGAGTTCTGCGATGTCATCAAGTGGACATGGAAAGATGACCACCAGGGGTCTCAAAAGACCACCAGAGACCACCAAAGGGACAGATGGCTGAACAAGCCATCCTGGCTCTGGTACCAGTAAAAAGGATTGAGCTCCCAGAGGTAAGGCCTAAATATAGTGAGGCAGATAAGAAATTAGCAGCTACACTAAATGCAACATTCGCTATGTGAAGGATGGTTAGTGACCCCAACGAAAAAAAATAGTGTTCCTCAGCCAATAATGACCGAGATTGTGGAAAGAAAACACAAAGAAACTCATTGGGGAAGTGAGGCTATGATTTCTAGTTTAGTAAATTCAGTTGTCAGCGTGGGAAGGACAGGAATGGTAAAATCTTACTGCAAAGTGCCCCCTACGCCTCAGAAATAACCCAATGAATAGAAAAAGTCCTCCCCCAGGAATTATTAAACAGGGTAATTCCCCTGGGGACTACCGGCAGATCGATTTCTCAGAGCTGCCAAGACAAAGTAGTTACAGGTATCTCTTGCTGATAATTGACACCTTTTCAGGATGGCCAGCAGCCTTTCCCTGTCGCACCAACAAGGCACTAGAAGTAATCAAGGTGTTACTGAAAGAAATCATACCCAGGTTTGGTGTTCCAGTAGGGATATCCTCTGACCGAGGTCCTCATTTTGTGGCTGATATAGTACAACAGCTTGGGAAGGTTCTCGGGATTAAATGGGATCCACGTACTCCCTGGAGACCTCAGTCAAGTGGGAAGGTGGAGAGGATGAATCAAACTCTTAAACTACAATTTAGTAAAATATGTCAGGAAACTTGGCTGGGCCCCCGGCTGGTGGTCCCCCCCGCCCCCCCCGGCGGGGGGGAGAGTTGCGCAACCAGAGGCGGAGTTTGTCTGCCCCCTCAGCCTGCCTCCTGGGTCGTACTGACCCTATGTGCCAGGATGCACCGGGCATAAAAGTGGACAGTGCGGAGAGAGCCAGGGGGAGAGGAGAAACTCCTAACTCTGAGGCCTGTGCTGTCTCCCTGGGAGCCGGTCAGCAACTCTCTCTCTCTAATCTGTCAGCTCGAGAGGATGTTCGGGTCCAGATCGGCAGGTATCACCTCGTGAGTAGTTATCCATACTTTGCTTCTTTTATGTGCTTTCTCCTGAATAAATGCTCGATGTAGTCGCCTCGTTCTGCCTGATTATTGCCGAATCCCAAGCCCATCTGGAACAAGTGGCTACAGGCTTTACCATTAGCCGTCCTGAGAATCAGGATCCAACCTAATGCAAGAAATAAAATTAGTCCATATGAATTACTATATGGGAAGCCTTATCAGGCACCAGAACTTCCTGGAGAAATGCACGTAAAGGGTATTACAGACTTGCAGTTGCACTTAATCTCTTTAGGAAAGACTTTGGCAACTCTTCGGCGGCACATCGCCCTGATGGGATCCCTCGCTCTCCATACTCCGGTGCATCCTTATCAACCAGGAGATTTCATCTACGTGAAAGCCTGGAGCTCAGAACCGCTGAAGAAGTGGAAAGGACCTTTCCAAATACTCTTGACAGCCCACGCTGCAGTAAAGGTAGAGGATATTGAACCGTGGGTTTGTTACACAAGGGTAAAAGCGGCCCCAGGATACTAGTGCAAACGTACTGAGGACACCTTGCGTATGATATTGCAAAGGAATAAAAACTGAACATCTAGGGAAGCTATGAAATCTCCAGAAAAGGGAACCGTCATATTGTTAGACTTAATATTGACTATATTATGGGGGGTGGGGAGAGGACAGAATTGGATTGAAGGGATTATTAAATTTAAATTCAATCACACAACAACAGTATGGAAAGATGTGAGCAGAGGGAATCATGCTACTATAATCATAATAATTGAAGACTTTAAGGGAGAACGAAGTGGGTTTGAGATATGGTGGTCGGAGGAATCAGATCTGGACTACTGTTGCCACGCAGAATCGGGAAAACTTTCCTTCTATTTAGATGGAGGAATAGACAATAAGTACCATGATCATTTAGAAATTCACTTTAGAAGGATAAGAGGGTTATGGTGTATGGCCCAGCATCAATCTCCAAAGGAGTCTTGTATCTCTATTAAGATGAGGCATCCAAGAATTGAAGCTACTTGAACTAAATACATATATTGGACTCAGAATGATACAGGAGATCCCCTGCATTATGCTCATTACACATATCGCTCTGGCCATCTTCAAAGGGCTTCCTCTCCCTTACACAGACAAAAGAGAGGTTTAGGAACAATAAATTGGGAGAATAACATGGTAATGAGCATAGTGAAAGGATTTGGAAGAATGAACAGGCTTTTAAGTGTTACAGCCTGCCTCCCTATACCTCACTCAGCAGCAGATCCCTTGCCTTGGGGCATAATATCAATAAGTATGATAGATCTCCTAAAATTGGATAACATAACAGAAGCCCTAAGAAGAGCAAATGCAACCTATTATCTGGATAAAGAGAACAAATTTAGGCAGAGAGGAAGTGATGCATTGCAGGATCCAACGCTATGGAGGAAAGGAGATGACAGAACTGCTTTTGGGCATCAACAGAGCTCCTCCTGCCCAAGAGGCTCAACGCATAACCATACTGTTCCTGGTGTGTCACAATTACCAGAATGCAATCTTTTGAGGAAAGGCCCCATAACTTGGCCAAAGAGATTACAAGGAAATCAGAGATATATATCTCCAGTTAGTTGGTGTTTTAGATGGGGAGATACACATAGATATAATTTTACCAAGTCAGGATGGAATTGTACTAGAGAGGTTGCATGTAGTATCACTTGATCTCAGTGTGAAAATGAGAGCCTGCCTTTTAGTATTAGACAGGCTTTTAAAGTGCAACATATTTGTAAGAATGAAATTCAAGGATGCGATAAATTCAGCATTCCAGCACCTGGGTACAGTGTGTGGGTCCTTGGAGATGGGCTATGGACCATGCAACTGTCATATACTAATGTAAGTATCCCAGTGACTCTGGGATTGCTTACATTATGCCCAACTTGGAAAAGAACACCTATTAAGCCCCAATATTGGGGAAAAATTAAAAGGGCCCCTGAGAATGAAGATGATGATTGGCAGGGACCCAGTACTTCTGTTAAAATTGCCTGGGGTCTACAAAGTCTTTTAATACCTGGGGTCATGGCTTTGGAAAACAGACTTCTGCTTGAAAATCTTACATGGCAGGTAGAAACATCAGAAAAAGCAACGGAGAAAGGGTTTTCACAGCTTAACAATCAGAATCAGGCAAATACAAGGATGACACTTCAGAACCGCCTTGCCCTAGATTTTTTTCCAGCTAAAGAGCATGGAGTCTGTGGGTATCTGAAGTTAAATTCAGATCACTGTTGTATTCATATTCCTAATGTCACTGAGGACCTTAATAAGCACATATATTAGATTCAAAAGGTGGCCCGACAGGCCCAAGACCTTAGAAAGGATATGGAAACAACATGGTTAAATAAACTTTTAGAGGAAATAGGAGAGAGTTCTCTCAATGGATGGTTCTCGTCTTTGCTACGGACTATTTTGATTTTAATAATTCTTATAATTGTGCGGAAAATCTCGCTGTCAAGAACTGAATGTCCAAAAAGTAGACAGAGGAGTCCTAAAACTTTATTCGAATAAAGGGAGAGTCTACCGGGCATATCCCTGTGGGGTGTCTCGATTTGCTGGAGGATGCAGCGCCCCTTTTATTCTAATTTCCCGACCGAGGGACGCCCTCTCCTTTTCCCCATTGGCCAAGGTACTCAGAAGTTACAGCCTTCCCGGCCCGCCTACGCCAAACTCCTGCCTCCCGCCATCTGCTCTCACCTAAGGTCACCTGACTCCTTTGTCCCCCTTGCTGAAGAATATGGGGGAATTCCCTTATTTCCCTTATTTTTAAAGGCCCCCAACTCTTGGCAGGTGCTCTTTTGTCCCACTCACTCATGGCTCCGCTCGGTCTCCCCCCTCCCTTTGTCCTGCTCTTCAGCCAGACTGTGGGGGAATCCCCTTATTGGCGAATACAAAAACTTGAGCATTCTGCTCATAATTATAACTTGTGTGATAGTTCAGTGTTGTCCATCACTTATGGTGTGCTGTTCTCGCTAGTGTTGCAGGAGGAAGTGAAGGTATTACCGGAATTATGCAGTCTAAGTGCAGTCCAAGTGAGACTCCCAAAGAGACCTTACTTTGGAAGTCTCAAAGCGGGAAGCTGCTGTAAGAAACCCCAGAAGAGAATCAAAACAGCAAAGATCGGTTGAAGACGAAGATAAGGACCACCGTATCTTCAAGGAACTGTCTGAAACAGGGCTGTGGGACCAAAACAGGGCCTTCTGAGCCAGAATGAGGCCATATATGGAAGTGAGTTCTGGGAGGTCATCAAGTGGACACAGTGAGACGACCACCAGGGGTCTCAAAAGACCACCAGAGACCACCAAAGGGACAGAGGGCGCATGTGTGCGAGGGTGGGGTATATTATAATTAGTTCTGGGAAAAAGAATGAATATGTATGATCATTCCATGAATTTAATGCATATGTAGATAATAGAGAAATAAAAGCTTTAGCAAACGCACCTTAGGGCAGGCACGATAGATGGAGCTATCCCCCGTGCACCCAGTGCTGCAATAAAGTGAATGCCTGCTTCTTAATACTACATTGGTGTTAAGAGGTTTATTCCCGGTTTTCGGTGACAAAATGACTGACCAGAGAGGGGGAACATATCAAGAAGCAACATATCTTAGACAGGCCGAGAAGTCTGTAACTTCTGAGTACCTTGGCCAATGGGGAAAAGGAGAGGGCGTACCTCAGTCAGGAAATTAGGATAAAAGGAGGCTGCATCCTCCAGCAATTTGAGAGACCCCACAGGGGTATGCCCCAGTGGACTCCTCTGTCTCCTTTTTGGACATTCGGTTCTTGATAGCAAGATTTTCCACACAACTGGGGGCTCGTCCGGGATCCTTCCACCTTCTGGGAACGGCAGACGGCAATCAGGGTCGATGGCGCACCTCACCAAAGCTTTTGATGATCAACTCCCTCCGACGGCAGCCAGCACTGCACGACTGATTGAGTTCCTGAGACTGTCAGGAGACAGACAAGCAGGGGATCAGGGGGGTCTGCAGGTAAGACTCGGGGGGGGAACTGTCCTTAAGTAGTCTGGTGGAAAGGACTAGGTCCGATGGAAAGGAGCCCTAGGTACCACCAAAGTGTGATGGAAGGGACTACTAGGTCCAACTGGAGAAAAAAACAAACAAACAAACAAACAAACAAAACACTGAAATCACACCAGTGAGTAATATGGTGACAACAGGTAGTAATGTAGTAATGGTAAAAGATGACCAGAGTGGGCAGCAATAGTAAAAGGGCGTCCAGGGTGGGCAGTAAAGGTAACTCCTTATAAGGTTGGAAGTCCCCTGTACACACAGGGTGAAATAATGCTATAGCGTTTTACTTTATCTTTTTTTTCTTTGCTTTTTTTTTGGGGGGGAGGACAAGCAAGTTGTGCTATTTGCCAGCTGCTAATTACTAATTGGTCAGCTCATCCCTGTAACAATTGCACCAGTTAATGGTGGATGCTGTTATCACAAAGATCTTGCACTGGTGAATAAGAATCAACTAACTGAAGCCCCTCTGGATTATTTTACTGTCTCCCTTAATGAGCTAGCACAACAGTAAAATTTGGCATAGTCAGCAAGATAAGAGGGGCCCAGCACAATGTAGGGAACCAAGATGTAAAGTAACTGAGAGAGTGCGTGTGTGTGTGAGTGTATAGTCAAGGACTGACCGGGGCCATCAGCTGCCGAGCCGCCCGCTGTGCAAGAACTTTCTGTCCCAGCCATTAAAGACTCGGGTGAGGTGCATGCAGTCCTTGTCAGCCTGACTGAGCAACATGCGTAAAATATCTTTGCCCGAAATAATGAGGAGCCATGGAGTTGGACCCTCCAGTCAAGGGACTGACTGCGCACAGGACAACTGGAGTGACGAGTCCTCCATTGTCTGTAGAATAGAAGTCCGAGGTAAATTAAAGGATGGCAAAGGAAAAAAAAGGAATGTGTGCCATCCTAGGAGCCGGCCTATTGGCAGGGCAACAGGCACAAGGAAAACACAAAACCAGTGAGGAGCAGTTAAGTGACAAAAGCAGGGAGTTAGAGGCAAAAATGCAGAAATGCAGGGGAAAAAAAAAAAGCTAGAGGTAGAAAGGGAGAAAAATCTGAAGTCCCAAGATAAACTAAAACTCATTCTCTCTTAAGGGAAACATCCCCCTATAACAGCACAAATTAGGAAACTGTTGGTGGAAGATCCTGAGGATTGGGGTGGGGATATATGAGGTGATAGTGAAAATTCCGATTCAGATAGGAACCATCTATACCCTGGTCTCCACCCACTGTGTAGGTTTGACCTGTAGTCAAAAGAAAATTTGCAATGGGACCTCAAGGGCATAACACTTGCACCACCATTAAAATGACCCCATTCAGGGGATGAATTGGGGAAATTGCAAGATAAATATAGTGGGAAGCCCACAGAATCAGAAACCGAGTACCTGTGGTGAGTCTCCTTATCAGGAGGAGACTGAATAACGCTAGATACACCTAGAGGAATCTATGTAACAAAAGGGAAAGGAGGAAAAGGGAAACAGGAATCTGAAGAAGGGGGAAAGAAAAGGATAGGGAGGCATGGGATGTCCTCGCCTTATCATCGAAACCCATCAGATGATCCAGAGGAGGAAGAAGAGGGGGCAGGAGCAGCCTGCAGGGTCTCCTGCCCCCTCTACACCTCCTGCTTCTAGGGATAGTGAAGAAGAGGAGGGACGGGACATCTTGTTCCCTTCAAAAACAAGAAAAGGAACCCAATACAAGGTGCCAAAAGCCCTCAAAGCTCAGACAAAAATTCGGCAAATGCCTCTACAACAGGTTCCATTGTGGGGGGTCAGGACAGGGGTGGGGTTGGATTTGTGATTGTGCCCCGACCACCCAAGACATAAGGGGATTAAAGAAAGAACTGCTCCCCTTATTTAGAGGATCCTATAGGAGCGGGGGCAGGCGAGGGGAAAGGTGGATGAGTATCTGGGAAATGCAGATTACACTTGGAAGGATTGGAATTTTCTTTTAGGAATACTATTTTCACCTCAGGACGAATGGATGATCTTGCAAAAAGCTCGTCAATTATAGGAGGATGAGCACCCTCAGGCAGGCCAAAATGCGATAGACCTACCCACTGTGGAAAAGATGAGCGAGTGCATCTTATCCAGACGCCGTTAGCAGATATGGGGGATAAATTTGAGATGCATGAGTTTCTTTTTGTCCTAAATAGTGATTGCAATCTGCTGGAAGTGAACTCAGAAGTGTGGGCAGTTCCAGGAAAATATGGAAAACTGGACATGGGACCTCCCCAAATTACTTTAAAGCAACCAGGTCAGGTTGTTGCAGATAGTTAGGGTCCGGCGGCCGGAAGATATCGCGCTGTACGGACAGATAGGGCCCCTAATAGCCAATAGTGTTAGTTTATGATGTAAGCAGACGGATGTGACGTTGTAAACCTTAGCTATATAACACCTTGTTACCCATCAATAAACGCCATTTGCCGTCCACCACA